ACAACGCCTTCATTACTCGGATATGGAGACACCAAACGGGAGATCAATTCGACTCGAAATAAGGCTACATTGAGCATACAATTCATGTACAGTGACGCAAATACACCTGCTGGTGTGCCGTAAGAGTTAAAATACTCTCAATTAAGTAGAGAAAGGACACAGTGCCCTTCCTCTACGGTTAACCAACGATGCTGTAGGTTCATTGCCCATTCGGACGGTTGCCTCTTGCACGCTGAAGCTTCAGTTGGAACTGATAGGAACTACAAAATTCAAATTTCCTTTCCACATAACCCGGCATGGCAACAATTCAATTATAATTTTGGTATCAAGTGTATGTTTAACTCTTCTGATTTGAGAGATAAATTTCGGAATATTAGCTGAGTCTGTCCATGACCATTTTGCCACAGGCTAAGATGCAGACACCTTCAATACATCCGTGGATCGATACAATTCAAATATCTTCACTGTTTGTAAAATTTTTCTCCATAAGGATAAACGAAATTTAGTTTAAATACAGTTTGCATTGAAACCCAATCGGAAATATTCTTGTTTCGTGGGTATAACAAAGTAACCACTTTGCATATTATTAACCGTTCAACAATTGATTTTTGAGCCAATGGCTAATCTAAACAATCATCAATAATCTAATAAATCAATGTGCAACTAACTTAGCCACCAAATGGCCCAAGAATCCCAGCCAACGTAGCAAGAAAATGAAAAAACAAACGCATTTCCCAATTACGCCTTAGCGGCACCTAGTCGCCCGAAATGTTTATTTTCCCCTCAGGATTTGTGGCGCATGCATGGATTCACGCTGTTTCTACCTTGAACAAACAAAATGGCAAACCTGAGCAACTTACAGTCCACCGTGCAGCTGCTTTGCAAAGGACGAAATGCTCTCAATATGTAATCAACGGACAAGAAGAGAAATGAAATCTCAACCGCAACAACGGCATCAGAATTCAAGAGCCGCCTCAGGGCGACACAAGAGCTTCTCAATACCGTGACAAGGGACAAAAGACCGCTCACAATACCCGCCATCGGCCCGTCAGAGAGCACAATAGGTCTGCACACAATATACATTGGATCGTCTTACGTTCTGTTCACGTGATGCTGTAGGTAAAATCTGGCAACCAAGGAATCTTATACAGTTGTCAGTTCAAAATGTTAATCCGCGGTTTAGTCTTTAAGTGGATTAAATTTCTTTGCTTCGTCTTACCTCAATCATTGCCTTGTTATCACTTTACACATTATAAAAAAAATAAATGTTTACAGGTTCTGTCCACGACGAGCTGTCAGTCACTTAATACTATAACCTCGACCTATTTCCAGATGATTCCTATATCATTTGTTTATCATAAACGAGTTCCCCCTTAAGGTAGCGACTCTGTAAGAAATCCATACTAAACAAGTGTTTCATTCACCAGCAATGTTGGTTATTAACATGATCAAAACAGTTTTCAATCCACCGACATTGGCTGATATCCAAATCAAACCAGACGCTTTTCAACAAGTTTTGTTCTCATACCATGCCAAGAGAGTTGGGTTGACCGTGTTGGGTTGATTTAAATTGATGGAGTGACTGCATACGTGAGGAATCCACACTACACGAATGTTTGATTAATCGAGTGACAACACTTATCTATATCAGATGGGTTTTTAATCCAGTGACCATGGTAGACATCCTTATCACACCATCCGTCTTTCAACAAGTGGCTATGCTCTGTGCCATGCCAAACGAGTTTTTAATGGATTGACTGTAAAACGAGATTGAATTGAGTGACTATATCGGGAGAAATCCACTCTAAACGAGTTTTTAATTAATCGAGTGACAACTCCAAACGAGTTTTCAATAGATTGACTGTAAAACGAGATTGAATAGAGTGACTATATCGGGAGAAATCCACTCTAAACGAGTTTTTAATTAATCGACTGACAATGTTTGTTATTTACATCAAGAGTTTTTCATCAGGTCACTATGTTTGGTAGCTATATCAAATGAGTTTTTGTCGAGTGACCACGTTTGATACCGACATCGAACGTTTTCAAACAAGTAAACATGTTTCGCCACGTCACACGAGTTTTGAATTGAGTGACTGTTTACAACGAGTTTTTTAATCGAGGTTTTAATCAAGTGACCATGCTTGTGACGAGTTTTAATCGGCATTACGTTTCACTTATCAAAGAGACAGAGCCTTAATTCAATTCATCTTGACTGATTTTAATTATTTAGTTTCCTTTTTTTCTCTGTACATGCGATGGCATCCTCATAGGAGGGCCAAACCACGTGCGCGCTTAGTCAGACGTCTTTGCCAATGGAATTGAAGTGTTGCTCTGGCTCCCCCGCCTATCACTTCGAGTGGATAGTTGGGCGCCGAGCCTAACTTTAACCCCTTAGTAGTGGTGTACAGTATGAACAATAACAAGACCGGACATAATATCAGACTCAAGGCCAGTCACACCACTAGTCGCAAGTAACAGGGTGCAAATTATGTTTTGTTGTAGGCAATTTGAACAAATAGCTTGGGATTTGATTTCAGACTGGCGGTCTTGCGTGTATCTTATGATGATTTTTCAATGTATATGGTCTTACGATCGTTGTGAGGAGCCTCCACTACAATAATTTCCCTCATTATCAGCATCTCAAGTGGCTAACCATAACCCCATGCAAACTCTCACCAAACTAAAAACTGCCCCAACCGAAACCTCGTAAGTACTCAAAGTTGACAACAGAGCAGTAAAATACTGACATCCCGAAAAATGCACAAAAGTCCAGGTACCCATGTACCTACATTCACGAGAGCGTCATCGATAAGGAGGTAAGTAAAAATTCATGCTCAAACCACAACCAAAGATATCACGGAGGGATCACTGACCCAGGATAAGAGGCGGGAGGTGAAATATTAACTTCAAATGCTATGAGTCCCAAACTGGACCAGGAAGGGGTGCAATTTTCCCAGCAACGCAGGCTCCTTTGTTAGGAACTGCTCATCACAGAGTTGCGAACGACTATGAAACGTAAGCGTTGCAGTCGTACTGCTACCAACAAAATGGACACTCCTGACCCACATGGCCCTTTCAAACCGATGGGGGGGTGCTCCTGCTCAGGGTGGATAAGGAAACACCTTTCGGTATTGCAATCACCCCCAGGCACTAGTGTGTATAGAGATTCTGTTTACGATCAGTTCATACAAATGAGACTTTCTTGTATAATAAAACCTAACAGCACACTGAGTAGAGAAATCGTATAAAGCCCTGGGTTGGTGTTCACTGACAATTTTCCCGCCACGAACCGTCAAGAATACTGTGACAATGCTGCGCCTAAAACAAGAGCTGAACAGATGGGACGTACCAGTGTACACTACTTGTTGTTTGCTACTTAAACCTCTTTGGATTTTTGTTTTCTTCACTCAATGGTTATGCGTCTAGGTGGCCAGTTAGTGATACGCGGCTAGAGCAAATGTATAAATAGTGCGCATAGAACGAAATATGAGCACGAGGAGACGAAAAAACAGTACGATCCGAATACCAAATGCACCCAGGTCAAACAAAACTCATCTCGAGGGCATTACAAAAAGCAAATTTAACCGTCTTGTTTTGAGGCATGATTCCTTTCCAAATTCAGGCCTGTGAAAATGGACATTATACTGTTGAAACTCGTTAAGGTTTTTATCGATTTACTCTATGCAAGATTCCCTCGAAGACCTTTCACTTGAAAGTGGCTCTGGCGACTCGTTTTGTCGGGTTGGGATGCAAACAATCTTTGTCTGGGCGTGGAGTTTGATAGCTGTGTTTGTTATTCCTTCGGCTCCCGAGAGGAACCGGTTACAATGGCCTTTTCTACTAACTGCAAGCTGCAAGGTAATACCCGGCAGAGCAGTGGAAACACAAGCCTTCAGCTCAAACTCGAGCTACAGAGGTTTTGCATGGCTGCCACCTTGCAGGCCAGTGCTTTTGTTCCACACGGTGTGCATAGAGAGGGTTTCCTTGTGGAACAAAAGAACTGCCCTGCAAGACGGCTTCCACGCAAAGCCTCTTTATACGTTCGAGATGAAAAGTTCATCTTCAAGAACGGCCCATGGCACCCGGAATTAATTTTGAGTAATATCTTGCAAGTTTTTCCTTCCAAGGGAGAGGCAATTAAGGTACTTTATTATTTTTATTTTGTTCTGTGAGTAGCCCACAGCCAATGTCGTGTAATTTACCTTTTGCTGCGCCGACATTGTTACCCTTGTGAATGGCAGGCGTCGTTAGCGGTTGAAGATAACCGATCTTAGGCCTCACTGGTAAAGTGTGCAATTTAGTGCTAAACAAAAACATAGCGCCTCAGCACTGCATCCCTTAGCTATTACTGATTCCTGTACCGTATCCAGGTCTTGGGTCGGGGGTGCTAATGGATTCTTTTCCAAAATCGAGTGTGAAAGAATCCTCACCCCCTCTCCTGAAAGGTGCTAGATCCGTTTTTAAAGTGGTGGCACTTTAAATAATCAATCACAACATATCGGGGGCAAAATGGAAGTTTTTTCGGTAAACAATTTTGACGATTTCGGAAACCACAACCCCCAGAAAAAAAGTGGAAGTGGTGTTTATAAAATGCTGACGTTTCCGATCGCCTGTCCAAAATACGTCGGTATCATAAACACGTCAAATTTTCCTAAGTCAAATCCAGTCTAAAGTTAAATTTTCCCCAAGTTGTGTTTGAAATTTTAAAAATTGCAACTCGAGTTCAATGTGAGTCAATAACACTGCAATACGTCTCGGCACGCAGGCCTACTGCATGATGTTGATCACCAAACCAGAACACCACGCTGCAAAACAATGTGGTGTAAAACTGGTGTTAATTTAAGATCCTCGGTGTTCCTATAGGACACCGGTCCCTTTTTAGCCCCTTTGTTACACTGCGGATGTTACATAAGCATTTAACACCAGAGATTTTTTGCAGTGTAAATGTTTGCAATACCGTGCATCATTTGGCCCTATTCCGTTCATCTGCTTGTCAGGCACATGGAAGGGTTTCATACCAGCCCTGAAGTGGACCCGTATCAGCTTAACCCCGACAAGGTGACGGTAGCGTTCGTGGTCGCTCACTTCATGATGTACTTCAACAACGCCATCAACCCGGTCATCTACAATTTCCTGAGCGGTAAGTGTTAGGACTGTCGATATATATTTTTGTTTTGCTGTTGGTGGTGCTTGTTGTTGGCTGGTCCTGCCGCTGCTGCTGCTGCTGTTGCCGCTGATGTTTTTAAGTTTGGCTTAAATTTTTTTAAGGGGGGAGGGTTCCTGTTTTGTTTGTTTTTTCCTTTTAATATCATGAGAAATGGGTTTGTGGGTACACCATGGAATCAATCTCTTTTGGACGAGGTGTGGTTCTTAAAAGAACTGGTGAGTATGAACTAGACGTTTCGGCCAATGTGCTCTGGCTGTCCTCAGGAAAGTGTCCTAAGACCGTCCTCTCCTGAGGACGGCCAGAGCACACTGGCCAAAATGTCGAGTTTATACTCACCGGTTCTTTTAATAACCACACCTCGTCCAAAAGAGATTGATTCCATGGTGTACCCGCAAACCCATTTCTCATGTTTAATCCACCATGCAAAGCTTCAGATCTGACCTTTTAATATCGATATACATTGTCTCGAAAATTCAATTTTGAGAACAAACAAAAATTCTGCAGCCGCTTGATATTAAGCAAACTCGACTTAGTATAGGGGCATGTATCACTAGCCTGGAGTTTTATGTTCCAAGTGTGTGATTGGTACAAAAATATTAAAGGGGACGCTTACTCAAGCATCGCATTTTACAAGTCTACTCTTAATACGTGTGATTCACAAAAGTTCGCCTCTAAGAGTTTGCAACGCGTTTGCCAATCACGGTAGGCGATATACCAGGCACGAAATGGGACAGACGGGTTAACACCCCCCACAAGTCCAACCCTGTATACGCTCCAGCCTATTGTTACTTAACACATCCCCCTAGATGTCTAACAAGAAATCCTCATTGTAATAATGACCAACACAAAGGTGGAGGGTCTCTCTGTCCCATAGTTTGCATCAAATGATGCGCAAAATCTGTCGATCCAATGCGCGTCTGGAAAGGGTTGCCACATTTCGCGCATTGCCAGCGCCAGCGCGTTGCAAACCTGGAGGCGCACGATTGTAAATCGCCCCTATTATCTGCTCAATTTCTGTAGGGAAGGAGTTTAAAATATTTGAAATGCTCAAACTGCTTCAAACTCCCTGCTGTCTACTGCGCCAGTAGACTGCAAACCTTTGCTGTTGAAAACAACACCTTTTAGTTTTATCAAATGATCACACCAACTTTGTTGCTTTAACTCCGCTGGTGTTACTTCTCGCACCTACAGATGTAACAGTGCACTGGAAGGTGTTAAAAGTAACACCTACGGTGATGAAATAGTACCACAAACTTTAACACTGAGCGTCTGATAACACCGGGGCTTTTAATTTTAACAACCCGGCTTTTGCAGTGTAAATATGGAATTGTGAAAGTTAGAGGTGCTGGTGGTTCGATCCTGGCAGAACGAAGAGGGTTTTTCCTTTTCGGAGTATTCTGCTATGACCAAAAAATCAAGCCATTTTCCTTTTTTGAAAAATTAATCGACGCAGGCGACTATGATGAATACGTGCAAGTTGCACAGCAAAACGAAACTGACAAAAGTGGTCCATTCTAAAGTCAGTGAGATTTAGTCTGCCTTTTTCTGCTATGAGATCTGGTTCTGGCTTTTTTTTCCTTTCATTTGGGCAATTTAATGAGGACAGAATTGCGTTTTAATATGAGTGTGAATGTTTCTAGGGATGTAATCAGAAGACTGTCACAAGAAAGGTCAGCTATTGGATGGAGCATGGCACCGCTCACGTGTTATTTGGGACGAATCAATTATTCCTTTACACAGAGTTAAAGATCAATAAGCATGTTACTAAAAGCTTTTCTGGAAGGGTGCGGTTTTTTTTGCTACAACAAAACGGGGACGGGGACACAAAACGCTCATTTAATAACCGAGGCTACCGAGCCACTACCCTATTTGCCCTTTAAAAAGGCATGGTTTGTGTGGAAAACTGGACCGTTGAAAGACAAACAGGACTGCAATAAAAATTCACTGTGATCAGACGCCAGCTTCAGCACTGGCGGGAAAATACATTACATTTCAAGCCATTCTGGAGGGAAAGTGTACATCTTTTAAAGCCGCTTTGATGTCATCTTTGGATACTGAGGGCGTTTTGTTATTTCACAGAAGCGTTGAAAATGCCTCTGGTATATAAAGACTGTGGTATATAAAAATATTGATCACACTAGAGGCACATGTCGGGACACTACAAACTCGGTACCACAACAAATAAGTTCGGGATGGGTAATGTAGTTCAGATTCCATTGAAGCTGGGCAACTGATGGCCAAGGCATCGCCAATACGAGCGATTCACAACAGTGCGACACCGAGAGTTTGCAACGCATTGGCCAATCAGAACGCGCGAAATTTGTCGACCCTTTCCAAACGCGCAATGGGTCGACAATTTCCGCGCATTATGATTGGCCAACGCGTTGCAAACTCTTGGTGGCTTACTATTGTGAAAAGGCTGTATTGCCATATCGTGATAGTTTGATTTCCAATGACAGGCACAGTCAGGTGCAGAATTTACAGCAATTTACCTATTTATTACATATATACCAAATGTTACAAAGGACCCTCTACTAAGCGTGACGCTCGGGCGATTAGAGGTTTGTTCCGATTTCGGCCAATATTCCCAGTGGGGCCTCCTTCCCAGTATAAATTAACGTAATCATGTGACCTGTCTGCTGAAATATCAGATAAGATACTGGGACTGCTATCTGATAGCCGCTACTACATAAACTGACACGCTTCGGGAATTATGAGCGGTACCACACATCACTTGTTCACTTTCGGGTAAATTTGCTCATTGGGAAGCGCGTTCCAGCTTACCGTGGCGATCGAATTTCTTGAGAATGTGCTCACTCCACTGGAGTGCAAACTGGTCAGGAAAAAGTTAACACTTCCACAGTCTTGGTTTCACTAACAAACATAATTTAGTTTCTGTGGTTCGTTTCGTTGCGTCTCGCTTTTGTTGCGTTGAGTTTCTCTGAGGTGGTGTTGCGCACGTTGGCGCAAATGTTCCATGATGTGTACAGCATGAACTGTTTGCAGCTGCAACGTGCCTGAAATGTTGCATCCAAGGGCGAAGATAAGTCACTGTTACTGTAAATTTGTATACAAAAAATGTTGGAATTGTTTATAGCTTGCTGTTTTAAATTTCCTTCTCTTTCGTGATCCAATGTGGTGCAAGTACATGACATTATGTAAGTCATGGGCACCCAGGTTGCAGCAATACTTTCAACAAAATTTGGGCTACCATTTTCAACAGCAATACATACATGTATCAACGTCAGATTGTCTTCTCCGAGTGATATCACAGCAAAAGCGCCCTCAGTTGTCTAGAAAAACATGGACAACTATAGGGCACTTATCAATTCACATAACCCAACTAGGATGTTCAATATTTTCTAAGCACAGTATATACTTGCACACGAAGTGTATCTAATAAACATTCATAGGATGGGCCCTTTACTGTAGGTCACATTGTAAATGGAGTGTTTTATCTTGTGATTCACAACACAGGGCACCACCAAGAGGCTGACGCAGAGAGGCCATTAATTCAAGTTCATAGTCCATAAAAGCGAAGCTGTCTTGCCGGGATTTGCAACCAGCGTATGTCAGTGGACAACTTGTCCACTTCTGGGGAAAGACTTTATAAATTGGGACATTCCACGTAATAGAGAGACGAAAGTATTAATTAAAACTTCTCCTCAAAATACACGTATAAATATCCTCCATGAAAAACAAAACATAGGACTAAAAAATATAAATATTCAAGTTCCACGCCCGCAGCCGGCGAATAGAATTTGTCCACCATTTCCCACAATGCACTGCAAAAAATTCCCTTTCTGTGGCAAACTCTTGGTGGTGCCATGTAAAAAGGATCGCCCTTTTTAATCCGACAGCAAGCTACACCACCAACTCGGTGTTGCAGTCACCGTGACGCAGCACCAAGGCCCTCTTTTGCAGAGTGAAACACGACCATCGGCAGTTGCAGTAGTTTCTGCATAGCAAATAATGCACGTGAAGTGCAACACGTGTGGATAATGCCAACAGCGCCTCAGTTCTCATGAATCAGGTTTAGCTGGTAAATGGAAGCAAAACCGACAAAAAAATTAAGGGCTGGAAATGAAAACTCGCCTTTGTCAGTTTGTAGTATGGAAACACAACTTAGAAGAAACTGACCTACAGGTCTACTTCTTACCTTCCGTAAAGGTTACAGTCCGCGACAATTTGGTGCCTAGACGTTTACATGACAGAATGAACGTGAAGTTAAGACATCTCAAACTTTATTATCATGTCACATGAGGTGACAGGACTTTATGGCGTCAATAGGTCCTTTCTTAAGTCGGCGAAGCGCGCGCAAGCGTTCATAGACACTTGATTAAGAACTTGAAAATGATGGACTCTACCTAGAAACTGAAATGTCCATTAACTGGAAATGAATAACCGTTCTTATGCCTCTGACCTAGATTCTCTTTTCAATATCTGGCTCAATAGACAGCCGTTGAGAGATACAATCTTAGGCGCCTGAGGAGATGTTTTACAATTCTATTTACATCATTTACATCGTAAATACCGGATTATGGAATAGACGGTTTGCAGTTCATGAATATAAGTGGCGTTATGGAAGTCGATCGTCTTATACATTATGGCGATCTCCGGTAGGTTATCAGTTTTCATGAAAGGCCTGGGGCTTCTTTTAAACGAGAATTGACGCCCATGGCGAACGTTTCACAGTGCCACGCTATGTGCATTCAGATGATCAGCAATACGACGAACTGTCTCTCGTTTATCAATCTGCATGTCATTCCGTGCGGGGAAAAATTCCTCATCCATCAAAATTTTTGCTGAGGGATTTTTCCTTCTGGGACTGATATTTCCCTTTCATCTGAACCGCGGGCAACAGGTAAATCCAACTAAACCGCTGATTCCTGCACAAATTATTATTTATGAGTGTTTCGAAAGATATTTGTAGCGGGATTCCAATTGCAGCGTTAGGCGCAAAACCGGAAATACTTTAAATATCTTACCAAAGGTGAATCTCAACACCCTTTAATAGGAAATTACCAGAGAAAAAAAACCACCTGATTTTGTATGCATTATCAAAGAAAAATTACACAATCTCTTCATTTAATGTATTTGTTGTCAATGTTTGTGCAATAACTTTCTCACTAAATGTTAGTATCAAAGTCGTGGTAAGTGAACCTGGTACAAAGATGCATAGACCTATGTATATGGTACATGTACACGTATTTTTTGGCTTGTTTTCAGCTAAAGGTAAGGTATATCACCCAGTGCAGAAATATTTATTAAGCAAAAGAAATCAACATTATTTACATTTCATAACGAGAAAGCTTATGCAGTTGTTCTTTCATTTAGTCTTTAAAGTGCTATCTTTATTTCCATTATCAATTTTTTTCTTCTCACAATGAGGTGAAGACAAGGTGTTCAGTATGTCAACTGGTGAACTTAAGAAATTAAATATTCCAGGTGGCTCTCCTTCCGCACTATAATATCAGTCTCAAGCCCGAGGCGAGACTTGTATGAAACAGAAACCAGACACCAAAAGCATGTCTTTTTACACGGTAAAATAGCCCATCAGTCATTCATTCTTCAATCGTCGGAGGATTGAGGAATGTCAGGTTTAGCACAGTAGCACCAAAGGGTGTGGGACAGGTTGTTTCGTATTGATAGTTCTATTAATTAGGGCTCCGATATTTTCCGCGTCAATGTCACACCTGACATATAATTTTTAAGTTCAGAACACGTTTTCCGATTCCAAGAGTGGTGAATTAATGCAAATCACCTGCTAAACAAGTAGAAATAGTTTGAAACCAATTTCAGTGATATTCCCATGTCAAATTATACAGGTCAGGTGAAACAGGGAACACAAAAATGTCACGTTACTACCCCAAATTCATTGAATGACCCATAAACCAATCTATTTTTGGGAGCTGTATGTTGACACAATATAAAGTTTTGAGACTTCTTGAGTTCTAAACAAAGCTCTGAGTAAGCACTCACTGCTCAGCCATAGAAATATGAGAGGAATGCGGAAAGGAACGTTGCATCCCGACTCCTCTGCAACGGTTGGGTATGAACTCTATACGGGATCAAAAATATATTCCGAGTATTTCCCAACAAAATTAAAATTTTTCTCAGTCCCAGATTCATGTCTTTTCAGCATTTCTTCACTGTCTGACCCTCATTGGAATAAATTACGTACTGAAAAAAGGGCAGGCAGGATACCACATTCCTTCAGAAATGCACTCCTCGGTAATTCCAACAACACAATACACTCACCTAACGTTAGATGCACTGATGACGAAAACCTTTATACGTGCCATTATCACATGTTGCTGATGACCTCCCCAGAAATCCAGCTTTGTATCGTGTTGGCGAAACTGCAGGCTAGATGTCTCGTGGAGCTTGTGTGCTCTTTGTATTAACTGATTGTATAATCCGTTATTGTTGCCTAAGCGTCCCGTACACATGAACCAGGCAACATGAATACATTACGGTTTGCACCAAATACGTTGTCCAAACTTAACTGTATTGGGCCAGTTTTTCCACTCTGCAATCCCGAGCTATCCCATTCATGGTCTCACTGAAGTCCCTGACGAGCCTATTGAGCTCCAGTTCCTTTGGATTGTTTCAATCTTGCCAGTGAATGCGGAAAACCCCCGAGACTTCCTTCACAGATGGCGCCAGCAAGACTGTTGACGAGCCGCCATTTTCTTTTCCCATGCGGCTTTGCGCGAAACAGGACACCGCGGAGAAAATCACATTATTGATCTGTTCGCACCTCCGAATGCCACTACATTTAATGCAACGCGTACTAAATCACTTACAGCCGCTTAATTAAAATGCATAAGAATACCTAAACGCACAGATGCAGGATGTTTAAATTTCCAACTTTTGGCAAGCGAGTCCCACCTCTGTACGGTGCGCCATACAGGACGCTACTTGTGATCACTCCGTTGTGCCAGACGCCAGTCTCCACGACTGTTGTTTGTTTGATTTCATAGAAGCTTTTTGGAAACAAAGTCCCATCATATTCTCTTAGAATCAATTATCTTATAGGAATTCCTGTAAAAAAAATAGAACACGCAGCACACTGTCGTACCTCTTCAAGCGCGGATCTGGGCGATGGGGGGTCAAACCCTCATCACTACTCAGACAAAAAAAAACGGTTTTAAAAATGGAGAAAATAATAAAAGACAACAAAATTAAATTAAAAAACAAGGAAATATCCCGCAAAATACTCTGATATGTACAAGGTGAGTGTAACTAGAAGGAAACTATGTAGTCCGAAAAAATGACCCTCCCGAAAAATTCCTAGATCCGCCCCTGCATGCTCTTCTATATTTGTTGCTACCATTGTTGCCGTTGTAAATTATGTAGTGTTGCTTTTGTAATTGTCGTTGCTATCGTTGTCGTGTTTTTGTTTTTGTTTTTGTTTTTTGGGTGTATTTTGTTTTCATTTTTATGTTTTGTGCCCATTGTTATGAAAAACCCCAGTAAATTTTTTCTGTTTCTTTTTCGTTGTTTCTTTTTTTCTTGTCCAAAAGGAAAGTACTCAAGAAACGCCTAGTTTCAGTTCGTGGTGTTAGTGACAGTTTATGTATTTGCACATTCCTCCTTTGTTGTCTCCACTTTCTCCAATGGTGGCCTCGAGGAACGATGGGCAGTACCGCCTCCACTAATTAGTGCGACCTCTGGCATACAGCTTCAAAAACGGTTTGAGCACTCTATTAACTTTCTGCGTGCCGTTCTTTCACCTGTCTGCAGCTCGCTTCCGGAAGGAGTTCCAACGGGCCTTCTCCTGTTGCCCGTGCGTGAGCGTGCCGGAGCGGCGCAAGCGGCCGGGCAGCGCCTCGTACCAACGGTGCCGGGACTTCACCGCCCGCAGCGGCAACAACGGTGTAAGCCAGACGGACTACCGGTCCCACGACCACAGCACTGAGTACCTGCAACTGTCCAAGCTCGGCAAGGCGAACGGGGCGAACAACAACTCCGCCCAGGCGGCCAAGTCAGGCGTGCCAAGTGTCTGATCATGCAGTTGAGCTAATTGAATCAAATTTAAATTTGGTCTTAATGGCCGTTCTGTCAGCATTTTGTTCCTTGGGCAGGTGAAACCATTTTCACGAATTATTCCGCACGGTCCAAGAAAAGATTTCACGACAGTTTTTAGCCTGTCTCCTATCTTCAAAGTAAGGATTTGACATTTTAACCCCCCCCAAAAAAAAACCAAAACACGAATACGTCTGTCATGATTTTTACTTGGAATCTCTGTAGACAAATCTGGTGACCAAGGTCCCACTTGTTATGAGCAGTGGCCCCAGCCAATGGCGGTAAGCATTGTGGTGACAGTTACTGTATTATCAGAGCCAATGCTGCGCGACAGCCACTCAGAACAAAGACCAACACAATGCTGCCGCCGTTAAATGGGGCCATCGGAAAGGCTCCGGGTTCCTCTTGAAGAAGAAAAACTTACGCCAAATATCCACTTACCTCACGCAGTGGGTGACGTCTGTAAATCGTTGCTCAAAGCTAAACATATCCCTGCTCGAACCACTGAATAATTCGGGGATTGGCTCGCAACGGCACAGGAACACGTTGCACGCCGCTTCATTTGACAGCATTATTGAGTGGTAACATTCCATTTAGTGTTGGAATACCTGTTATCACTTGGTATCGTCCCAATGTACATAATGATTCCAAACTAGTGTGTTGATAGGACACTCAATTCCTGGGTAAAATGTTGTTGAACTGTTGTTGGGTACCCAATATCCTTCCAGTGCTTGTGTGCTGTCAGAGTAAATTGACAAAAATTCCCCGAAATTATAACACGAAACCTCATTTTGCACCATCTGTTCTTGTAAGTCAGCCACTGTATGGTTTTCTCACATGATATTTTGCAAAGAACTAAACATGAGTGCACGTTCGTTGGTTTAACTGTTACTGGCGGGTTGAAGTTCAGTGTAAAAGCACTTTTCCTAAGGATGTGGTCATATCTATTTGCTTGAAAATATGACATTTGCCTGATGAGTCCTACTTTTTTTCTGCTGTGTGTGTGGGGGGCGTATTGCATAAATTCAAACACTGTAGCTGGTCTAAGTTTTCACACCTCGCAACAAAATGAGAGTTCTTTCGCACCGAATTTACGATTATGAGTTGTATTGCTGTGTACTATAAAATCATCCCCCCTATATTACCGTTCCTGTGGAATGTTACTTACAATATGCATGGGTGCTTGTTTCTGTCAAGCCGAGGCCTTGAAATTCAAACGTATTATTTTACCGCACAGCAAGGTGCAGTAAATTGTAATTTGTTTCCAGTACGCTGCTTGTCCAACTGTTGTAGTACAATCTTTCACCAGCGCCCCAACACCGGTGAGACCCTGATTAACACTTACGACACTGGCGTTTGGTTACTTGATCCCGTCTTGGGGGACAGAAGAATTTGGAATAGTCTCTATTGAACCGACTCTAAGTCATTCCGAATCCACTTCGGTGATTGGAATTCCGCAGGGGTCGAGTGTGGCACGCAACACAACTTTATGTAGCAACGGAAACTATATACCTCTCCGTTAACCAGGCCATTCGGATGCGGTCACGAAGTCATGCATCGATTGTGAAGCGTTGAAATCTGTAAGACAGACTACACGTCCCTCGATAAAATCTGCGTTAAAACGGGCAGTAACAAGAATGGCTTCACCGCAAACAGAGGAGCTGTGTTAACTCAACTCACATGTGGCGTTAACAAAGACAAGATCGTCAAAGCGATTTTAAAAAGTTGTTCCCAACAGCTATAGGCCTAAACAAAATAACAGAAATTCAAGTATAATTTTTAGACATGTGGCATTTTTTACGCGATCTCAAATGAAACAAACCTCAACTAAGACCATAAAAGAAGACTGTCACCAGATTTGAATATAAGCGAGGAAGTCGCTACAAATTTGCAGCCCCCCCAGGCTTACGGGAAATCGGCGTGAACATTTCGAGTCGTTGAACTTCTTAAGCAATAGCATTGTCAAGATGACAGATGTAGTTTTAAACATGACCCAGCGATGACTGAGACAATTTAGTTACCAATCAAAACAATTAACATTAAGATCACAGTCGTCATAAGGCTGCAGTCGGGCTCCCAGAATGCAACACTGTGGTCACAGTGAGTTAAAATAAAACATTCCATTATTCTGCCTTTATATTGTATTTATAAAATGAAACGGGAAAGAAGGTATTAAGTTTATGTTCCACTGAGGCATGTGTTGTTGGCATTGACACTGGGCTACATGGACAACGCCAGGGAGAACTGGACGGGATTTGAAGATAGAATTCTTGGACGATGGTGGCGCTGTTCAAACATCAGCGCCATGTTTGAACAGCCACGTTCCCTTGTTTTATGTATCGATGAAAGCAGTAAGTGCGCTGTGCGACGCCAGTATTTTCATAACAAATATTAGCAAAAGATTGGCGTTAGCCTTAGGAACGAGTGAAGCTGAGATTTACGTGGGGAGACCTGGGAACAAACGCATTTCTGTGCCCTTAAAGCGCCCGGTATCAGCTTATAACCTTCACAACACATGGAGGAAGTTCAGGCTTTGCACGTACATGCTGCCTTAGTAGGCTACATTTTATGCACACGTGAAAGTGTTGACCTGCGTAAATTGTTCAGATTAATAAGGATTGGCATAATATTAGCCCATTCCAGCACCCCACAACGGCGGTGGGGACTACCAAAAGGGGCAAGTCGCGTCTACATATGTGCGTAATTATGACCAAAAAAAACGAAGGCTTTGGACGACTTCTGATTTGGGCGTGCATGATCTCTTAAGGTTCTCTTGCGGGTGTTGGGCGCTGAAGGCCTGGTAGCAGTGATGCCAATATCTGTCTGCCTCCTCCTTTGTCATTGTTGACAGGGAACGGTGGGCAGGAATCGATGAGAGAAAGGATGGATGTGTCTTGCGGAATCAAAAGAAAGATGTGGAACGAGCGAGAGTTTTCAGCAGTGAGAAATAATGTGTGAAACAAGAAGTGTGACGAAGTGGATGGACGTCAGAGAACGTTTAGGGCTGCAACGCCTTCATGGTACATGCATGTGTAATCTGGGGAAAGAGATAACACTGCCCTCTTACGGTGATTTTGGTTTTTTAATACTACTGATTATCCCATTTATATATATTTTCCCCTACAAACAGAGAGTGAGGCCTATTTGAAGAACCAAGTAAACCGAATGACCAAGCGCAGCTAGTCTGGTTCCCATACAAAAAGATATAAACTACTCTGAGAGATTCTTTGGTCCGGTGGTCGCCACGGTGACAAAAACTAGAAGAATTTTTCCCCTAGCCAACTTTCCCGAAACCCGCCGATGTTTCCCGAATCCATTTTTGCTGATTTTTTAATATTGTCGTTCACGTTCGGAAATATCTATAAATCACCTTTCTGTCAGGTTTTGTTGATTTACTACATGTATTATTTTTGAACATTAACACCATTTTTGTTAACCTCTTGACAGTGATTACTTTTACAAACTAATGAACACGCTATGATACCGGGCATTATATCCCAGTGCCTGTTTGTGTCGCCCAGATATGGGTCTCAATCCCAAACGCTGGTTCGCTCTTTCCATTGAGCTTTTTTCTGCAGTGACTCCAACAACAGATATGGATTACTGATCAGGATTCAGATCCGTGCCGCACAAACACACCCCTTGTTCAATTCTTCACTCTTCGACAGTGGCTTTCAGACTGACAATTTATTCAAGTCTGAAGAATTGTCAAGTTCAGGAACTGTCCGTATATATGTATCGGCCATTTTGAATAAGCCATCTGTGAGTTGTATTTGAATAAAATCTGGTAGACTGAGTTCTTTAATTCACGTGAACATAATTGGAATTCTCCATACTAAAAACACCATGGATATACCTCGTGATTTGGGGCAAGCTTTTGCTACAATAGTTACATAAGAGACGTCTTACAACGATACACTTTTTCAGTGGGTAAGAAGGGCACAAAGGTACCAGTTCATTCCAGAGATGGTGGTTGGTATGCAAGAGCTTGCCCGAATCACGAGGTACAGCAAGTGTCTTTAGACTGCCAAATTCAAATTCTTATGTTTATGTGTACTCAGATAACTCGGTGTACCAGATTTTATGCCAATGTAATTCTCAAAACGCTTATTGAAAGTGAGGTTGACTCCTCATTTTTGGAAACCCGACATTACATATAACACCAAAGAAATAAAAGTTTTTACGAATTCATGTTTAGAATACCTTAAATATTGCGATAAATTGAAATAATTTTTAAATGTTAAAAAAAGAAAGTGAGGCTAGAATCCAACACAGTTTGGCATCACCCCCAATTAGCAGATGACATTGAATAGGGGAACACGATTCAGTATGGCTTACCCGTGAGTAAGGCATATTGACTAAAAAGCCCAGGTTGCTAAATTGACTATTGAGGGCGCTTTATGGTCGGCCCATCAGGTTCCTCATTATAGTTTTGTAAGTAGTATCTCACAACGGGTATGATTCAGAAGTCTGCAAACAAATTGAGGCCTACCTTTTTTTTCTAAAATATTAAATAGTGGTATTGGAATCGATAGGAGCTGCAGACTGATATTCAGGAGATAAAAACCAGTTGTTGGAGGAAGTATTTTTGAATGTGTGTTATAAATGCACGTGTGGGGAATTAAGTAAGTAGCATTTGTGTGGACATTATTGTGTGAAAATTATTGTGTGGATCATATTTTGTAAAAACAAACTCTGCACTGGAATGTACATTTAAAAATTGATTCTTCGATAACTCAATTGAAAGGCTACCGAGAAAATGTTGAGATAAATTTCCAACGTTATTTTCCCTTGAAATATATTTAAAAAGGAAAACACAAACAATTGACAATGTGATTATATTTAACAGATGTTACCTAACACGAAATTTAATTTTGTAAATTACTGTTTCCTTCAGCTATCACATTTGTAAACTCTAACTCTGTACAATTTATGAATAGATATTTATTGACACAGAAATATTTTGGGATTGGAATTAATTCCCACTAGACAAAGTATGTAATGTGGATGAGATATGTTCTGCATGTTGACTAATAACCTTACACATACATTGTAATTAACCCGTAAGCGATCCAAAGTATTAAGTGTATGGTTGAAAGCTGTCTTCAATAAATCTTGATAATGTGAACTTGTAAAAAGGAGTGACTCGTGTTCTTCAGAGACGGGAACCATTTTACGAGTAGCTGCCAGGCACTTGGCATAAACTCCAGCTCCAATGACAGACAGCACTGGTCTCTACGGGCCTGTTTGTGTCACACAGATCTTGACCTCGATCAGTGATACTGACGCTGGTTCGCACCATCCACTCTGGGGGTTTTGGTGTCTGTAAACCAGCGACGGATCAGTGATCGTGATTCGGATCCGTGTGAAACAAACACGGAGCTGTATTTAACCGGTAGCTCGTCGAGACCGTGGGTTGGAGGCACCGCCGTCATTGAGTTATAATTAAAACAAGTTTTTTTTTCTCACAATGCTTCGTACCGAATGAAGCCACTGGCAATGCATGTTACCATGTCGAACACAAAAGCGTTGGCTCAACTGCTGTTATAACAATTGACGCCGCGAAAAAAAAATTAACAATAGCAAGCTTTTGTTTTGCCTTTTTATTTGGCACGGTAAGATGGCCACCGGTGGCTTCAACGACCTCCAGGAACTCATTGAGGGCAAAACGGAACCAGATTTTTTCAATATGAAGTCTGTTGTTGGAAGACACCGTGCGCCATATTGGGGATTGTGAGCACCAATCCCAAACAAAGTGGTTTAGTACTAAACAATTCGCAATGTTGGTTAACCACTTTAATTTAACGCTATAGTTCGTCAAAGATTTGTGTTTACGTTTTAGTTTTTCTGAAAAACGCTAACTTGCTTTAGACCTATTTTAAACACATGAACGAGCGACTGGGTGTTCTTTCGTTTCTTCCACAACAGGAAGCATGACTTCACTACACACTGCAACAATTTTTCGTAACAATATAAATCATTTATTTCCGCAGGTCACCTCAATGACATAGAAAAGTAACGACAACAAGTGATTTGTAACCCCATTACAAGTATATTGAAGCATTTTATAAAGGAATGTTATTACTAAGACGCGCGAGCCGTTTTTTAAATTTCATATCAAAAAAAAGCTAAAATTCAAACTATATTTCATGATATCTAATAACTGCCTTGAAATTTAAAATTCGTTCAATGTGAAAAAACCAAGGAAACAAATGCCAAAAAATAAAGCGTTACAAGCGTTACCTTTTGTAAGCTGTACCACGGCCAGAACATCTAGAAGCACTTATACAAGAAGTACACATAAATCAATCATTTACAATCATGGCACTTAATATAAATTTCTGAATATGACCTAAAGCCTTCCATCTGTAACTTCTTTATTTGTACAGAAAGACCTTTTTCATTTTTAAAACACTTCAATTTAAACAGCTTACAGTACTTTTCGGCTCTTATCTAAAACTGGAGGGGGTTGGTATGTGGATAGCATTGTTGCTGTGTACACAGTCGCACTGGTTGACCCGGGGATTCGGGGAGCGTGGAAGGGTTGACGAATTATTGTGTGGACGGGCGTGGGCCAACGGAACAAGGACTTGCTACTTGACCCATCTGCTGTGTGCTGTCTGAAAAGCGTGCAAACAGACTGCGTCCGGTGTTCACTCAATCTGAAACAGGTTGCAGTAATAGCCAATGAAACCAACCGCCGCCGATACGGGGTGGTGCTCATCTTGGTCGAGCTCCCGACTCCCAGTAACCGTGCCTCCTGATCCTGAACCAAACCAACCCCAGCCCCCTGGATGTGCTTCGCCACACCCCTAAAAGGCAGCTCATCGCTGCTAACGTTGGTATGTGTTTGCCCACGACACAGTTAAAACACGAGTTAATGTCGTCTACTCTGCATTTTGACGTCCACAGGTAAGCTGTGCGTTCATTCTTTAAATCTTTCGAACTCCACACTCAGACACGCACCTTCGTTAGAAATAGAATTTGCTGCCAAACTCTCAGAACGCCTAAGAGAAGGCATACACATGGAAGGTCATTAATGTGATTAATTTGTCACAAGTAGTACTGATATTCCTACTGACTGACACGCCCAAGTGAGCTGATTGGGTATTCCAACAGCGCATGCCAAAAACGAAGCACGCCCGAGGTCATTCGGACGCGAGTGAGCGATCTCTGCCCTATCCACGCAGCCCTACGCGGACTCCCGCCCGTCCTTTGTTCCCGAATGACCTTGCATTTGTTGGGATAATGGTGCAATAGTTGGTTAAAGTAACTTTTCAATCTTGCGGTGCAACTTTAATTGGTATGAAATTATTGTGCGAGCAGTAGGCTAACAAACAATTATCTGTATTAATTACAGCCACCAGTTCAAATTCTTATCTGGTGGTCTACGTTGTTGAGTCATCACATTTCACTCATATTTTGCTCTTGGTTACATACACACTCGTCATTAGTACAGAGGCTGTATATCGAAATTATTGACTGGTATTCCTCTCTAAGTCCCGCTTTTCAAACACAAAACCTGAGAGTGGTTACCAATTGCAATCAAGAGACTGGTGACTCTAATATGCCATTACTAAATGCAACAATTAACAAGTGCAGTACATTTATGATTTTATAATGGCTCTTTTTAAGGTCCTTATAGTCCTGAACTTGTAATCACCACTTGGAATAACATTTTCATTGGAAGGATACCGAATATATATAGCGAAGGGGGCCAGCCAAGTCGTGTCTTTTCATACATGCATGTTTACCTAAACGGCGACAAATTTGGTATCTTCATGGATGCCAATAAATCCACATAGCATATAAGCGTTTTGGTCAAAATTGATGGAAAAAATGTCCATTTTCACTGAAATTGAGCTTGAATTCTTCTCGAAATAGATTTTTAAAAATCACATTGGCTTCACAGCCGCTTAAGTCTACGCTGGTGCGCACAACTGAAGCAGATTTTCAAATGTCCAGGTAGCAGAGAAACGGTGCACAAGCAGGAGTGATTACCACTTGCCAATTTATTGTGCCCTGAGGATAAACTTCCTGTCTCATTTCTTCATCAGAATTAGATTATTTGCTGGTACATTGCTATTCAACAGTGCACAGTAGTGACCTCTGCGTGTATGGGCCTCGAGCTGGACCAAGACAGTGCAATATTTCCTTAGCAACGGAGGCTCCTTGGGTACTAACTGCGCATCGCTGGTTCACGAACGACTAGGAAACGCAAGTGTTGCAGTCGCAACGCCACCAACAAAATGAATACTCCCGACCGACGCCGCTCTTTTCAACCAATGAGGGGGCGCTTCGGCTTAAGGCGGCATATGTCCTACCAATAACTGTGACTGAATTTCTACAGCAGAATCAAGAGACTTTCAGTGTAAAATTTCACTTACAAAGTGAACTTTCAGTTCCAACGTAAAACACCAGCACGCAAATTTTACAAGCAAAGTCTTTGAAAAAGAAAAATTTCAAAATCACCACACGACCTTCAAACTCTAGTACAAAATATAATTCTTCTGAACATTATTTATCTCCAGACATTTCTTTATGAATGAATTAGACTCTCATGACAAAAACCAAAACCACTTTTGGCAGCCGTCTGTTTATACAAGTACGTGTCTTTCATTTGAAGCTGAAATTTCGTCGGTAAAATTACTGAGGATAAAGATTACACGCATGAAATAGTTACATTACAAGCAACGTCAACGACTATGGGGCAGAACACTTCACGTATTATCTTTGTGATCATCATTGGTCTCGGTATTATTTCGGTCGCAGTGTGCCACCTGGCCAGCCCAAAAACAGTATTACTCGTACCGATCTTTAAAACGATTAATGTGACTACCAGAGGAATACATGCCACTGATATTGAACAAATGCTGGCTGCAGAAAACTTCCCTAGTCGTCCCACAAATACAATGTACGTGTGTTATCATCCGCATGTAGGTAAAACACCTGGGTATATGTAATTTTCTTCCTCTAGACAATTAACAGTTACTCTCCTTGTCCCCTTAAACACTTGCGTAATTTTATGCCACTAAACATTAACCTGCAAATTGGTACATGTACATGTAGTTGGTTGTGTGGGCACAATTAAGTATCTCAGTAAAAACCAAAGGAACCGAGGAACATTGAAAAAGGGGAAAAAAGCATGGCAAACCAGGTGGGCTGATGTCATGGTTTACGCGACCACCAGCGGCTCGTCATCGGAGAAGCCGCGTATCATTGGCTGATCCTCTTCCTCCCCTGCAATGTGATTGGACAGAAATCACATCATCGATGCATATTTGTGCACATCAACTGCACTCCACAAAATGAAACGGGAGGGCACGTTTGAACAGTAATCTGAGAGTAGCATTTCTATGAGCTAAAAACAAAATGCGAAACAACTGGCTTCTGACATTCACAACTCAATAGTGTGCTAATGAATATGCATGAAGGTCAAATAAAGGTAATACAAATGAAGTGATACGTGTTCTGGTACCAAATAATCCATTTGCGAGTATTCCACCTATTTGGTGGTTTTAATTCTGACCGGTAAAGGCTCCAGAGAAAAACTACTGAAAAATGTCTTTGTTCTGCCAACCAAAAGCTTCAAACCCCATGTATTGCTATTCAAAGTCACTCATAGTTGTTATGAGCCTGATGATCTACTGTCAGCACAGTCTGTGCGAATGTGACAGCACCAATATTGGACATGGCATCAATTCCAAACGCAGGCCTCATCAGTTTCGGGTTCATCATTTTTAGGAGAAATGCAAACATAAGATCAAGAACAGAATGCAAAATTCTGCAGGAGAGAAATGGTTGAAAAGGTTTCATTTCTGCAAATGATACATTTTCAGAACTTAGCAATGCATTTCCAATACAACAGTAAAGACGACCTGTGACTCGATGTAAATCCCTGGTGTAACCGCAACTCTAACTTGTTAACCTGAACCAAACCAAACACTCACACAATACGACCGGCTCCCAGTGAATGAACCAAGGACGAGGCGAGGTATTTTGCTGGCCTGACTTACCGAGATCCTCATCTCCACTGCTGAAGGTAGCCGTGCCCGAGCGGGGGTCGTAGTGACTGTTGGCGAAGGACATGAAGCTGCGCTGCAGGCGGCGATGGCGGACCACGAAGTAGCCCAGTGCGATGACCAAGAGGATAATCAGGCTCACCGCAGCCACCACGGCTGCTATCCAGGTCTTCTCCGCCGTTTGCTGGGGGGGATTGGTTGGCTTGACAGCTGAGCAAGGGATAAAAAAAAAGAAGATACAATGTACACAAGATCAGTTTTGTTGAACTTGAACCCTATCAATGTCTGCTGTCCAAATCTGGGTCAAAATGGCTTCACTTGAACCGAGTCAAACTGGGTTTTGTGCAAACAGGTGAACAGACTTCACATCAAACAGGGTCAAAAACGAGTCCTCCTCAACCGAGTCACAATCATTGGTTTTGTTTTTTTAGATCACAAACTTGACACAACTTATACTGGACTGATGTGTGTGCAACAGAAATGAATAAAAATGGCTGTTGATGAATTGATGTTAACCACTTCATGATGGGGCATTTTTCAATGTTGAGGATGCTGGGCCGGCATGACTATCATTTTTCCGTTTTCAAAATCCTTCAAAAATTCATCATTTCATTTAACAGTCGTTTATTGCCGCACAAAGTATTCTTTAGGCACTACTTTAAGTTGACAGGTGACCTTCATTGATGCCCGAGTATTTCAGCCAGGCCTGCAGTCTTGTC